ACACAACCCTTCATGGCAGCAACCTGGCTCATTCTAGAGTATCTGGGCTTGCACACTGGCCGCAGGCACCTCCTGGAGAGGTGGGGCTTCAATCTGGGTGCCCAGACATCATCTAGGCCTGCTTAGAGTTGGAATACACGTCTGCACCCCACCTGCCCCTGAACCTGCTGAGTGTTCTTCAGAAGGCATCAGACAGAACCAGGATGAGGAACATCACAGACGCTAAGAAGAGTGTTCTTCTGTGAGGTATACCAGCTAAACAGACACGTACCCCTTTCCACAAAATTGTCACCATTTCTGAATGTATATAGCAAGAGCACCACGTGCAGGGGAAACGCCATAACTGGGACCCAAAAGGCCAGGGTTCAACTCGAAGGTCTGCTGCATGGAAGCCATGCATCCCCTCCAAGCCTCAGCTTCCATCTGCAAAATGAGTATCCTAAAACCCATCTCATGGTGTTAGTGTGAAGCTCAGAGGCAATGTGCTCAAAGAGCCTGGAATGGCTGCTGGCACACAATAGGGGTTATTATAAGAATCCCTCCACCTGGTAGAGAGTTTTAATCCTATGATCTAAAATGAGCATATCTGGCACAATCCAATGAGGGAGGTGTATTATCACCATTTTATAGATGAGGGACTGAGGCCCTTGGAGGTGAAATGGCTTTCCCAGGGTCTCTTAGCTGCCAGTGGTAGGGACATATTTTACACCCAGGCCTCTTGGCTTTTGCACTGAAGCCCCCTTAGAGCAGAACAGAGGAAGGGCCAGTGCTGGGAATACTTTCAGTGCTGGGAATCCCAGACTGTCCTTGTGGGCAGTCAGGGTGAAATTCTGGAGACAGGGTGAGCTGGGGGAGGGTTTTAATAATCACTGGAGGGGCCAGGCAGGTGGAGGCTCCATCTCTCACCTTCGCTTGTTTTGCCTCTCCCAGAGCTCCAGAACTATGGAGACTTTGGGGCCTTGGGTGGGACTCTGCAGCTGGCCCTGAATGGCAGAACCTCAGCAGGTGCCTGGCTCTGACACCTGGCAAGCCTGGGCTGATAGTGGCCAAGGTGTCTTATAATCCAGTTTCTGTTTCCTAAGATATTTTGTAGAGACACCCATGGACTCTGGATCTGAGAGACCTTTGCATGAGCAGACACATGCCTGGGAGATGGACAGGTATTTTCCTAGTAGTACAGTCCCTCCCCGCTTTCGCAGTCTTGGGGAGTCCTGTGCTTTCTTTGAGGACCTGGCAGGTGATGGGCAACAAGAGTTCAGCTGAGCCTTGAGGTCCTCACTGCCTGGCAGCCTGGGAAGGGCTGAGATGGAGCTGCAGGGGCATCAGACAGCATGGGGAGTGGAGCGGGTGCAGGTTGCACTGCACTGAGTGAGTGCCTGGCCCCAGCCCTGCACATAAATCTTTCAGCCTCTCATCGGATGTGGGACTCAGGAGTTACACGACCATGAGAAAGTAACGAGGTGGGAGTGGACTCCTCTCACCACAGATTTCACTTGGGTGCGTCCCATGCCAATATGCTGACTCTGTCATAGGACAGCTCAGCTGGCTTGATGCCCCACGCGTGAAAACAGAGCTCTTGGACCGCAGCTCCTGGGCCTGGGGTCTGGCCCTGGCTCTGTCCCCGACTTGCTCTGAGCTTTGCCCATGTCCCTGCTCTCTGTGGACCTCAGTCTGCTCACAGCTATGATGAGGTGGGCCGCCTTGAGCTCAGAGGCTCTGTCCAGCTCTGAAGTTTTCTACTCAAGGGCAGATTTGCTGTGCAGAGTGAGCCACTTGTTCCAGGTGTGGCTGAGCCAGGGCAGTGACAGCTGCCAGCAAGATCTGCATATGCCTTCAGACCTGCTGCTTTTGGAGAGTGGGTCCAAGAGAGCCAAGACGGGGCTCGCCTTGCCCTGGCTTTACTGCTGGCCTAGCCTAATAAGCTCATTAGGCCCAGAGCAGACAGGAGGCTCTGGTCAGTGTTCATTCATTTGCTCATTCCTTCACTGAGTCATTCTTTCATTCACTCAGCAATCTTGAAACCTATTACACGCTACCAAAGACACAGTGATGAGTACGTGTTGCCTGCCTTCCCTGAGGCTGTGGTAGAGTGGAAGACAGACCCTGCACCATTCACTGGCCACAATGTGGAGAGTAGTCTGGAGGCAGGGAGAAGGCCAGGAGGCTGAGCTGATGGATGCTCGGGCCGGGATAGTGGCACTGGGGCTGGACAGAGCAGACGTGGGAGGTCTTTCTGGTGATCTGTCTACAGGACTGACCAGACACTGACTGAACATTGGAGATGGGAGAGTTAAGAAGATGCCTGTGTACTGTCCTGGTGCTTGAGTGGACATTTGTGCCCCCACAGACTTGGGGTTTCAGGAAAAGGAGGTGAGTGTCCAGGGCTGCTCACCTGGCTGTGATTTCCATCTTTAGACTCTCCTGCTTCCTCACCCACAGGAGAGAGCTGGCATTAGCTATCCTCAGGCCCTTGGTGACTCTGGTCCTGAGACCTAAGGCAGGCAGGGCAGGGAGGCCTGTCCACTTGGGGAATGCTGCTTCTTTCCTTTGCCTCCGTCAGTGACTGGACTCTCTGGGGTTCCAATGACTGTAACTCCAATCCGTAACTATGACTGAGTTCCAATGACTGGATTCTGTTGGGGCTCCTTCTAGGCCTGGGGAAGAGCCTGGGGGCTGGTTGACTCAGAGTGGCTCCCCTTTTGAAGTCAGTGGGGGGGCTGTTCCAGAACGGGATGCACTGCCCAGATGCCCTTGAGAGGGAGGCATGGGGGGCAGCTGCATGGGGAATCGGAGGGGAGGCTGCTTGGAGAGAACCTCTCTACATGGTCCTCAAAGCTGTCCTGACCCACACCAGACCTCCAGCAGGTGTCCTGCATCTGGAGAGTGGCTTTGCACTCTCCATGCATCAGTCAAGGTCCTGTTCCTGCCGGCTCTTCCAGGAAGCTTCTCCAGACCCCCCTAAGATGAACCCCTCCTTTCTCTGAAACCTGTGTCTGAATATCTCCTGGTGTCCAGATGCCTCAAGCCAGTCCTGGCTTCTCCTGTCCTGATGAGTAAATTGAGACCGCAAGAGGAGAAGGGACTTGCCAGAGGCCACAACAGGCCAAGGCAGAGCTCCAATGTAAGCCCAGAACACTTTCTGCCCAGCTGCTGTGGCCTTAAAGAGGCTGTCCCCAGGGTCCTGCATCCATTTCTGAGCCCCTCCCATGTGCCTCTACTCACTGAGGGCTGCAAAGGCAGGAGAGGCCTGGACAGATGTACCTCTGGCACTTGCCCTTGAAATATTTAGAGCTGAATGGGGGTACAGACCTGCAATAGTGGACATACCCCATTACGAAATCAGGATGTTCATAGGGCCCTTGTGGGACGGACTGACTTCTCGACCTGGAGGGCAGTGTGTGGGTGATGGCCGGGAAGGCAAGGGCTGCCTGGCAGCACCAGGCAGGGTGAACATATCCACAAGCCAGCTTGTCTGACTCTCACAAGATGGGAGGTGAATCCTGCCAACCCAAACTGCAGGTCACATGAGCAAGAAATAAATGTGTTTTGCTCTAAGCTACAGAGCAAAAGCTGACGAATAAAGGAGGCAAATACAGTATCCTGGTCCCAACATAGATGCCACTGTCATAGGCAGAGACAGCTATAGAGAAAGGAAGAGAGAGCAAGGGAGGAGAAGAAGGGAGAAGAGAAGGGACAGGGAGTGAGGCGCTCGGCAAGCCCTGCACCTGAACGCCTGGACTTACCTTTGCATGAGGCCAGACCCCCCAGAAGAAAGTGTCAAGTCCACGGTTCCACACTGTGATGATAATACCTGTATCCATTATAATCATGATGATGACGATGATGATCGTAGCTGCCATTTTGAGTTCCTACTATATGGCAGGCCATTTAAATGTTATCACTACTCTTTACAACTATTCTACAAGGTAGATATTTTTAATTCACCAAATAGTTGCTGCTATTACAGCCCATCTATACAATAGGGATGTGATGGTTAATTTTAGGTGTCAACTTGGCTGGATTAATGAATACCTAGAGAACTGGTAAAGCATTATTTGTGGGTGTGTCTGTGAGGGTGTTTCCAGAGGAGCTTGGCATGTGAGTCTGAGTTGACTGGGCGGGGGGAGATCCTTCCTCAGTGTGGGTGGGATCCAATTGCTTGGGCCTGGATAGAACAAAAAGGCAGAGGAAAGGATTTCCTCTCCTCCTGAGGGTGAGATGCACTGTTCTCCTCCTGCCCCTGAACATCAGGACCCCAGGTTCTCGGCCTGGGGACTCCAAGACTCACATCAGTGTTCCCCTCCTCTCCCTCAGGTTCTCAGGCCTTCTGCCTTGGACGGAGAATTGCACCATCAGCTTCCCTGGTTCTGAGGCCTTTGGACTTGGACTGAGCCATGGTATTGGCATTGCAGGGTCTCCAGCTTACAGACAGCTGTTGTGTGACATCTTAGTCTCTATAGTTACGTGAGCCAATTTCCCTAATAAAACCCCTTCCCCTTCCCTCCCCCTCTCTCTCCCTCTCTCTCCCGTCAGTTCTCTCTGGAGAGCCCTGACTAATACTAGGGAATTGAGCATTTGAGAAGGTACCAGCCAGGGTGGGGTGGCTGGGCTGGGATTTGGAGCCAGGGCTGGGCTGCCAGAGCCATCTTCTCCCCTTGGGGCCACATAGCCCTCAAGCCTCAGACCTGGCTCTGCTAGGAGGGCCCAAAGCTGGGCTGAACCATCTGGGCTCTCAGTATGGCCACGTGGGGCATGAGGGAGCCACAGAAGTTATCCTAGCCTTGGCAGGGATCACTTTCCTTACCCACGGGGACCATTAGTAAACAACCCTTGGCCGGAAGCAAGAGAACTGCTTTGGGTCCCAGCCCCGCCTCTCAGCACTATGGCTCTTCCCACCCCCTTCTAGGCCTCAGCTTTTCCCTTGATGAACCAGAGGTCAGGGAGGGTCTAGCAAATCTCCCAGGACCCTGCAAATAGTCCCTTCCCAGTCTGGCCCAAACCTGCTCCGAAGGCAAAGAAGCAGATCTTATCCTCGTTCTCCTGCAGAAGGGCCATGACCCTCTTCCCCATGCGCTCGTTCCTCTTGTAAATGAGCTCCTGGCGGAAGTAGCTGTCGATCTCCTGGGCTGTCACCTGCTCGTGTGGCGGGAGGGTGGTGTTGATGAAGTTGGGCAGCTGTAAAGGCAAGACAGAGGCTGCCTTCAGTTCTCTGTGGAGCAAGGTGGACTTCGGATAAGCATGCACAGCCTGGGTGGGGTTGAACAACTCACCTCTGTTAGGCCCCTACAGTGGGCTACAGGCTATGTACATGTTTCTCATCAATTCCAAAACCCTCTGAAATGAGCATTGTTTATTCTGATTTTGTAGATGAAGCAAACAGGAGTGGAAAAGATCCAGAGACAAGTGCAAAGTCACACAGCTAGCGAAGTGCAGGGCCAGGGTACAAGCCCTGGCTGCCGGGCTCCCCAGGCATCATTCTGCCTGCATTGCTGCCCTGTTTAACCTCAGCTCCCAGATACTGAGGTCCCGGGAGTCCTCAGCTGGCATGTGTTCGTCTTGTTAACTGCTCTCATTTCAGCACCAAGCCCAGCTCTGTCAACGTATGAGGAATTCAGTTCAGCAAGAGGTTGTGGAGGGTCAAATGAGCTGCCTGGTGTAGCAGAAAGGCCACAGGGGGCAGGATTAGGCTGACCTGGGCTTCAGCCCTGTTCTGCTGCTGTGTGGCGCTGGGCCAGTTACTTAACTTTCCTGAACCCCTGTTTTCGCACTCGTAAGATGAGACTGACACTACATGAGGATTAAATGAGAGGATCAGTGTGGTCAGGGGCTGCATTTGGCCCACCCCACCTTACAGGCATGAGAGGAGGGATTGTTGGCTTTGGCTTCCCAATGCCTGAGCCACCATCTGTGACCACCACCATCTCCCCGTCCCAGGTCCCACTACTCTCCAGGACACAACTCTAATCCCTCCATCCCCTCTTGAAAACTTCAGCTCCAGGACCACAGCTTCCCCCATAGGATGGACTGCTCAACAACCTGGCTTGGAACTGCCCGGGCCTTGCACAATCACCCCGCCCTCTGTACCCAGCCCCAGGGCTGGCAGCAGCATTGGTAGCATGCCCTGAGCCAGGCAGAGCACTCCCTGAGTCCAGGGACAGAGCCTCTGTCATTCCTGCTCCCCAGCGCCTGGCACAAGGAAGGTGCCCAGCCAAGGCTCCTGGAGCCTTGGACAGAAAGCTGCATTGTCCCTTCCCAACCACTGCTGCCTCCTCCTGTGTTCTTCCATTCCCAGCATTTTGTCTCTCCAACCTGGATGGCAGGTTCAGGTGTGCCAGCACCACCCCTCCAGCAAGTACACGGGGTCATAGAGGAAACTGAGGCAGTGAGTCAGAACATACTCTTTCTCTCCAAAACCCGTTGGTGCCATTCTAACCTCTCACAGGATGTCTCCCACCTGGCATCCCCTCTTCCACTTCTCTGTCTTCACCTACCCAGGCATGAATCACAAGACACCAGGTCTAGCTGACTAATGGAAGAGGCAGGTGAATGGTGTGGTGTAAGGAGACTAATTTCTTGTAGGTTTTAGCCCCCCAAAGAGTCATGCAGCCCAGCCACGTGGCTTCTGAGGAGAAGGGAGGAGTCAATGGAAGCTGAACACTGAAGAACTCTGTGGAGGCTGGGACATGTGCCTCTGCTATCTGCTGACCAAGAACCATTACGTCCCCCAGAGTGAGGGGGAGGTAAAGTACATGTGCCATGGGACGTCTGCTTCAGAAAGGACTGACTTGCTGTCTGGGACGAACAAGATGTGACATGACTGGTGTTCGCTAACCTTGTGCACTGTGCAACCTGCAAAGCTGCACGTAGTAGCCCTGCTAGTGCTCAATCAGGACTGGCACAGAGTTGTCGTCCAGGGAGAAATAAGAAGTAGAATTCTTACCTGCTGCCCCACTCCCCCCCAATTATGGAAGGGATGATGGCAGCCTGAACAAAACAAGCCACACTTGGACTTGATGCACCTACAGGAAACAACAGAAGTGTCTGCGTGCAGAAGGAGCACAGAGAGGCTGACTCGGAATGGTTATTTCCAGAAACATGTCCCTCATAGGCTTCTCTCCATTACTTGGGAATGGGACAGAATGTGAAACTACATTGTACCAACAAATAAATATTTGTTGAACTAGTGAATGAATGAATGAAGGAAGGAATGGAGAGGCTGTAGAGTGATAGTGGTTCTGAATGGGGTTAGAATCCCCCTTCTGCCACTTACTAGCTAGGCAGCCTCTCTATAATTAGCAAGTTACTTGGCCTCTCTGAGACTCAGTTTCCAAACTGGTAATGTGGGGTTAACATACTTTGTTGTAAAGATTAAGTGAGTTTTGGAAAGTACTTAGCACAGTGCAGGGCACAAAGGAAGTCTCGCATCAATGTTAACTCTTACATGACTAGCCTGGGGGATGCAGCTGGGGGACTAGCTGGGGGAAGCATTCTGCTTCCCTTCCCCTCTTCCAAGGGTCCCTGGGACCTATGGATGTGCTCAGCCTTTCTTCCTATGCTTCCTAACCACAAATGTGCATCTGTAGAAAGATGAATTTCCATTCATTCCTTAGGGAGCTAAAAAAAAATTCACAAGGACAAGAACCAAAAAGTTAAATTTCAAAGCCATGAAGGAGCTGGGCTAGACACTCCGGTTCCCTGGGTTGCCCTGCTGCTGCCGACATTCTCTGCATGTTTCATGGCTCCAGGCCAAGGATGGGGACTGGGTTTGGGCCAGGGCTGGGATGAAAGCAAATTAATGATGTCATTAGCCTTGTCGGGGGCCTTAAATCTCCCATGACAAGTTTAAGTGCAGGATGCAAGATAACACTGAAAAGAGGACAAGTAAGGCCCTCAGAGCTCTGGAGTGACAGCTCTGGGCTGGGGTGATGAGATGGGTCGCCCAGAGTTGGGGTGGGCTGTGGGGAGGACTTCAGTGTCAGCTCTCCTGACCCGCAGCCAGGGCTGGGTCAGGTCTGCTGACGCCACCAACCTCAGTGGTCACATCCCTTCCCTTTCTTTACCCCATCCACACAACAGACACCATCTGAGAACTTCCACAGCTCTGGCGCTGTGTCAGGCTAGGGGGTCACAGAGCAAGCTCAGGCTGGGTCTGCTGCCCCGGATGAGGCTCACAGATGCTCACACAAACACACTGTGGGGTATGTGCTTTGATAGGCCATCGAGGTGTGTGGGAGCCCAGAGGAGGCCCCTAATAGGGTGAGCACATGTCCTGGTTGACCATGACAGTCTAGCTTTATGGCTGGAGGAGACTGCTCCATGCCTGTTAATTATTTTGACCCTGAATTATATCTGACCCTTCATTCTCAAAAGTATCTGGGTCTGGACAACAAATACATGTGGCCACACTGCACTGAATGCAGGCTGGGTGCTCAGGCAAGGTTCCCCAGGGGAGGGCCTTTGGATTTCCCTGCTGATGACAGGGCACTGCCAGGGCCCACGGCCTGGGGGCTTCCAGTGCTGCAGCCACTTCTGAAGGTGGGGATGGTGGAGTAGGGAGGCAGGTAGGCCAAGAGTGAGATATACCAGGTCCCCATGCCCAGCATTAGGAACACGGACCCTGCACCTGTCCCACCCTGGCCTCCAGAGGCCACATCATAATCCTCCACATTGCAGCCAGAGGCATCGTTTTGACCATGCCCCTTTCTGGCTCAAATTCTCCAGGCTTCTGTCCCTCAGCAGGCAATCTTGGCCCAGCATGACCCACGCCCTATTCCGCAAACCATTCCTTCAGGTCCTCCCACATTCCCACACTCCCCCAACGCAACTTGCTCAGTCTGCCACTTTACCCCTGCCTGGCGGACTCGACTCTCAGCCTAGTTCCCAGATCACCTTCTCGCTGAAGACCTCCCTGACTGCAGATAGAGTGGTTTCCGGGTCCTCTGCCCCCCACAGACTTAAAGGCCTCCAGTTGCAGACACAGCCCCACCTCACCTAGACCCCTGCTCCATCAGCACGTGGGCATTAGATGCAGCCTTGCTACCCTGATCTGAGGCTTTTCTGCGTCTGTGCAGAATTGCCTACCCTCTCCTCAAGGGTCGAGATTCTTCATGAGCACCCCTGGGTACAGCCTGGGTTATTGTTCTAATTTGGGAGGATCAATCCCCCCATCCCCTGTCCCACTTCAAGTACGGGCACTGCTGGGAGACTCCTGAAGCGGTTCCCACCTTCTAGAGATAAATCAGTGATTCTGGACAGAGGCTCAGGGAAAATCTGAGCTTGCCATTCCTTGAGGTCACCCCATAGCTCCTTCTCTCAGCTCTGATGGGTATCATGGTCCAGCCCCTGCCATGTCTCCAGCCTGTGCTCTCACCCACTCCTGCTCTCTTGCCTCTGACTCGTTCGCACGTGCTTTCCTCTGCTGGAACATTCTTCCTCCCATCTCATTTTGTGGGAATCTCTCCTTCCCTCCCCAGCCCCATTCCCTACCCGCTGCGTCCTCTACTTCTTCTCACAGCCAGGATGACACTTTGGTGTAATTACTGGTGGAATTGCCCCATCTCCCCTGAGACTGCCAGCCCTCCAGCAGCAGCTCTGTCTGGCTCCCCACTATATACCTATTCATGGCACTTGCCTGGCATTTATAAACAACTTCATCTATTCATTCGGCGAGTATTCACTGAGTCCCATTCTGGGCCAGGGACTGCTCTAGTAAGTTGGGATAGATCTATGAATAAAACAGACCCAAATCCCTGCCCTCATGGAGCTTATGTTCTTGTGGAAAGCAGCAGACAATAAATAGTCACTAATCAATGAATCAAGTCTATGGTATGTTAGAGGATGATAAAGGCCATGGGGCAAAGGGGGGCATAATTAAGGGGATGAGAGTGTGGAATGGGGGTCAGCCTGCAATTCTAGATAGGACAGTTGGGGCCAGCCTCATTGGGACAATGATATTTGAGCTAAGTGGCAGAAAGTGAGTGAGCCATGCTGAGACCTGGGGAAGAGCATTCTGGGGAGAGGAAGCAGCCGGTGTGAGGGTGCTTACGAGACAGCAAGGAGGCCTGGGTGGCTGGAGTGGTGTGTGAGAGCAAGGGGCAGAAGGGGAGGGGAGGGGCTGGGGCAGAGCATCAGGGCCACATAGGCCACCGCAGAGACTCTGGCTTTTCCTCTGAGAAAAACAGGGAGCCCATGCAGTGTCCTGAGCAGGGAAGTGGTCTTCTCTGCTTAATTCAACTGCTTCCTGAGTGCATGAATGTTTGAGCATCATGACAGGGAAGCACGGGGACCTAAAGGTGCCTGGGGGAACACCTAACTCCATCTAGAGCACTGGGAAGGTTCCTCAGAGGAGGTGACATTTGACCATGGCCAAGTGGAGGAATCCAGGAGGAGAGAGGAGCCTGAACGAAGGCACAGAGGGATGAGAGGACAAGCTGCACTAGGAGAAGAGTCACACGCTCCACAGGCCAGCAGAACAAGGTCTGTGGGGCAGAGGACCGGGACTGAGACAAGGCCAGCTTGAACGCTGAGAAGTTCCTTGGAATCTACCCTGTGAGCAACGGGGAGGCACACTGGAGTCAGAACAGGGCCGAGCCACACGCAGCCCCTCAGGGTCCGACACACTGTCCAACAGCTGGTGTTGGTCTTTCCTCTAGGCCTGGAATCAAGGCAAAATGCCTGGGCTGGATTCGAGTCCAAGGTCTGAGTAACTGTGGGCTTCCCCTTGCCTGGGACTTAATTTTCCCAGATATTGAACTGAACCTCTCAGAGGCCTCTCTGGTCTCACAGGCTGAGCTTCTAGAGTCCTAGGCCCCAGGGCCACACAGACCTGGCTCAAGGTGCTGCTCCCAGTACCTCAACAACTAACAAGTTGTGTGGCCTTGGGCAAGTCTCTTTTCTTCTTTGAGTCTTAGTTTTCCCATCTACAAAAGGGGGATAACAATGGCCCCTGCTTACCATGCTGGAGAAAAGATTGCCTATCCTGGCACATAGTAGGTATGTAATAAATGCCTAGTGGGTTCCTGTGGCTTTGGCTTGAGATCTTTGGAGCTGGTGACCTTGAGGCTCAGGAGGAGGGAAAGAGCCTCACCTGGGATGTGTCGTGGTTGAAGATGACAGCGTTGAGGTCTCCGCAGTTGTAGTGCTTGATGAGGTCCTCCGTGGTGTAGGGTGCCTGCAGGCTCCCGGCCCGCACGCTCTCGTGCTGCAACAGGGTCTGGTTCAGCGCAAACAGCACCTGGCCAGGGAAAGAGAGAGGAATGAGGGCTGTGCTCAGGGACCCCGGCTGGCCTCCAGCCCTGGCTCTCCTCCGTCTGAGCTTCAGAGCGGCAAGCCTGAAACAGAGAAGCTGTGTGGGCCCAGCACCAGCTGGCTCAGCTGCAAGGCTCCACGTCTCTGCTCCTGACGCACTTAACCCTGAGCACAGTCAGCCTGTTCTCATTCGCAGCCCTTTGTCCCCACTGCTGCTCTGGGTCTCCGTACCTTATCTAATGATGAGGCAAAACGAAAGCCCTGCTGTGTCTGGGTTTTGGAATAATGGCTGAGTTTTTCTTTGGATGCCTCTGTGTTCCTGTGTGTAGGTGTGTTCTAGGATGAGCACGGACTCATTTTTTAATCAAGAGCACCTCCAAACAAAGCAAAACAAATAGACAAGAACAAACAAAAAGCCCCGTTAGATGTCGGGGCCCAGTCTAAAGGCCACCTCCTCCAGAGCCCTCTTCACGCAGAGAAAGTCTTGAGGAGCTGTGTCCCTCCGAGCCAGATCGTGTTTGTACACAGCACATGTCATTTAGCTCCTCTGTCCTCTTGGCTACTGTGCCTGGCCCTGGGGACACAGCTGCACCTAGCCATACCTGCCAACATCAGGATCACTTAGAGTGCTCTGAAAAAAATTCAGATGCCCAGCTTTGCCCTCCGGAACCAGAGCCTCTGTATTTTTAACAGGTTACCTGGGTGCTTCTTAAACAGCCTGACTGCCTCTGACATTTGAGGATCATGGCTTTAATGGAACACAGCCTGCCTGAGGTACAAGGGACTGAGAGACGATCTAGTGCATAGCCTCCATTTTAGTGGGGAAAACTGAGGCCCAGTGAGGGGAAGGGATTTGCTCAATCCACACAGGTGGGACTAAAGTTTCATGTGACTAGGTATTCCAGACTCCTTTGGCCAACAGAAGGGAGGAACCTGACCATTATTTGGTTATTTAACACAAATACAGAGAAAAACTTGTGGCAATCCCTATGCAAAATGTCAGGAGGCAGTCTCAGACCACCTGTCTCTGCTGTTACCCAAGCCCTAGGCCATCCCTTAGTCCTCAGGACCTGCTCATTCTCTTTGCACAGTGCCTCAGATGACAAGCACCCAGCCTCTTGGCCCACACCAATTCCAGCCCAAGCATCTCTCCCTGGGTGAACAGCAACAGTCCCTCCCATCTACCTGCAGACCCTCTCCCTTTCCAATGAACCCATATTCTTCTGCCATGGTCATCTTTAAAAAGCACAAATCTATTAGGATCTCTTTCTCCTTTTTGCTTAAAACTTTCATGGGCCCCCTCCGGCCAACAGGTTAAGGGGCTAGATCTTCAGTAGAGACTCCAAGGCAGTAACCTGGACCCTGTCTCAGTGGTTAATAATCTTGTTTCTTACACGGCCCTCATGCCTCCAAATACTAAATACTAAATACTACAGCTATCTCCTCCATGAAACTTCTCTGCCTTCCTGGGGGCGATGTTAGGCCCATCCCCATGGCTCCCACAGTCCCATGGGTGGTAGGCCAATAGATTAACAGCCCCAAACCTTAACCCCTCCCTGAGTTCCTGCCCTTTGTCATGGGACTTTGTAGCTCCCTCCCATTCTGACTCTGGACTTATTTCAGCCAATGAGATGTTAGTAATCATTACAAACAAAGGACTAAAAAGCACTATGTGCTGCAGCTGCTTCTTGCACCTCCACCATTGCCCTGAGAACAGCCATGCTAGCCTGCTGGAGGATGAGAGGCATGTCAGGCAGAGCCGACCAGCCAACAGCCAGCTGATTCCCAGTTATGTGAGGGAGCCCAGGCAAGACCAGCAGAACCCACTTGCAACTGGCCTCAAACGCAAGAGCAGTAAATGCTTATTGCTCCGATGCAACATAATTGTGGTGATAGATAATTGATAGCATGTTTCCCTCCATCTCGGTGTGAACATTGGATTGTAATTGCTGTTTAGCTACCAGCCTCCCCCATCAGGCTATGAGCCCCTTGAAGACAGGAACTGCGTCTTACTCATTTTTGACTCTGCTCAGCACTGTGCCTCGTAAAGAGAGGGTGTCACCTCATCCTTTCTTCAGTACTTTGACACCTGCTAAGTTCAAGGCTGCTCATTAAGCCCTTAAAACTAGCCCCTAGAACTCTAGCACTCCACATTTTGAGGCATGTCACTACCACATGGCAGAAGGTCCCATCAAGTGGCAGAGGTCACTTGATTCAAAAACACATAATCTGAACAAAAAAGCTCATGAAATAGGTACGCACAGCCTGGCTAAAATAACGACACAGCAATAGGGCCAAGCTTGTGCTCATTAGATCACCTCCACCCATCCGTTCTCATTTTTGTTAATGGCTGGGCAGGAGAGCTGGATTGCTCTGGATGCAGCAGCCCAGGCTGCTCCCCATAATGAGCTGGCTGGAGATGAGGTCAGACCCCACCCCCTAGCCCCCACTCCACCTCTGGGCCTTCTCCAGGCCTCTAGGCTCTGGCGGCCACTGCTGAAATCCGATCTGCAGCCATCTGGTGCAGAGTGTCATGGCAGTGGTGGCTGGGGATGGATCGCAGGAGGCAGTGGCCCTGTTGCTGTGGACATTGCTAAGGCAACAAGCACTTCCTCCCACACGGCACATGCCTCGGATGAAAGTGCCTGTGTCAAGTTGATCCGCTTTCCTCCTCTGGGGGCCGTGACCACACAGGGCTGCTGTACACACCTGCCTTGCTGCTTCTTAGGGTCAGCTTGGCCAAGGCACCAACTGACCTGTGGCGAGGTCATCAGGCCAGGAGCCCAGAAGAACCTGCTGAAGGGGAAATGGCTCCCCTGGACCTTGCTGAACTCATGGAGTCACTTCTGCAAACATGTGGCCCTCATGGAGCTGGGATTAGTTCCAACGAATGTCACAATTAGTAGGACGCTAAGAACGGCCCTGGCATGTAGTAAGTACTGGATAAGAGTTTGTTACATAAAATTTAGAGGAAAATAGTTAGACCCAAACCTTCTCAGATTGGAGCTGAGAGGGCCCTAAAGGTCATCTGGTCTAGAGGTTTTTCAAGCCTTTTTAAGTCATGGAATTCTTTTTTGTTATCGTTTTCCAAAAGAACCTTACTTGGAATTCAAAATGTGGAGCAGATAAAAATGGAAACTTCCCTGGTTGATGTAAGGGAGGCAGGCTAAAGCCTGAAGTGCTACCAGCTCAATGCACCGTTGCAGCAGAGACTACCAAGGCCTTTCTTCCACGAGAACCACTGATCTCATTCTATGCCCTCATCATTCAAAAGAGGAGAAAATACGAGAATCTGAAGCAGGCAGGATGGGGCTTTACAAAGGCCACACAGTGAGCTGGGGGCAGAGTGGGATCAACCCCAAGTCTCCTGACTCTCTGCCCAGCACCCTTTGCAGGGCCTTGGATCCCAAGGCTTTTGGGATATCCATGGGCACAGTCCGTGTTCATCCATATGCATTGCCACACCCAGGTTCTTTCTGGAGTCTTGTGAGATATCCAGAAATATCCAGAGAGTATTTACTATTAGTATGTTACAGATATAAAACTGAGGCCAGATCATTTAAGAGGTATCCCCAGCATGTCACAGTCAGAGTATGGGGGACCAGGACTAGAACCCGAGCCTGTCATCCCTGACTTTCCCACACAGGCGGGGTTTGGTGCCTCCACAGACCCCTACGCTTCCCTTGGTCTTAGCACTAATCCCACTGAATTGTCCTTGCTCCCTGCCTCTCTGTCCGCTATTGAATCCCAGTATCCCCAGTAGCAGACATTCAGGAAATACTGCAGAAGGAAGGATGCTGATCCTGCGCCACGTGCTCTTCTCCCTACCTGTATCCCTGTATTTCCTCCCATCCTGTATTCGCCCTTTGCAATTTACAAAGAAGTCTTCACCTAGTCATTACTAGGATCATTATGTTTATTGAGCTCTTACTATGTATCAAAAACTTCCTAAGCTCATATTAGTTTAATTTTACAACAACTCTGAGGTAAGTCTATTATTAGCTCCATTTAATAGGTTAAAACAAAAAAAACTGCAGCAAAGAGACACTAAGCACCTCACCAAAGGTGACAAAGCTGGAGGGGGGTGGAATGGGCATTTTGGCCAATCCTGGAACCTGTCCTCTTAGTTAACCACTTCTGACAGGGGCCTCCCTCTGCTCTCTTTGGGAGAGAGCCAGCAGGGATGGTGTCCCTGTCCACAGATGGGAGACTAAAGAAGCAGAGAACAGTGAAGGGCCCAAGGCCACATGGCTGGTAAAGGATAGAGCTTGGGTTTGAAATTACATCTATCAGGCTCCAGACTAGGTTCCCACAACCAGGACTTTAAAGCAATATGTGCTCCTTCACTGTCATTCTTGGTGCTTCCAACACATAGAGGGAAGCTGCACTCATTCATTCATTCAACAAACACTTTCGGCTGCTTTTCTGCAGGGATCTGAGATTGGCCTATTAATTGGACTCAGTTTCCATCAACATGGAGCTCATTTTAGAGGCAGATATGCCAACTAGCCATCAAAGTGAGGGTGGCAAGTGCACACGCTTTATAATGAAGTGCCGGCCCTGCTTTCTGCCTCCCTCTCAATCTCCCTGAACTCCCAAGCCCACCACTGCTCAGATTCCCAGGCCTCGATGCTTTCTGCTCCCGGCCACCTTAGAATAACAAACCTGCCTCACATGTAGCCTTGGTGGCCCGCTCTAGGATAATGTTTATGATAAGGTTTTGACATGGAATAACAAACACCGGGTGAAGGCTAGAGCTGTCTCTCTGCCCCTGGATGGCCGTGTGGAGTCCTGGCCACCAAGAACTCCTGAGCATCCCGGCAGCCCCCCTGGTCAGGGCTCACCAGGCATGAGGTGGCCTGTGGCGTCTGCTGAGTGTAGGCCCGGAATTTAAACATGTCTTCAAACATGGACCTGGGATGGAGAGAGGCAGGCGCCAGGAGGGTGGGGACAGGTTTATTGTTCCAGAGTAGTCTAGTAAACAGTGCCGATGGGCTGGAATGGTGAACATTGGGGCCTGTGTTCACTTGATGGGCCAGTGATGTCACCATGAGGAGAAGGTAGCAGGAAGGTGGTTTGGACC